TGTCGACAAACACTACAAAAAAAAAAAAAGAAGAACAAATTTAAAAAACCTTGAAAAATTCTAAATTAGAGAGAAACTTTTAGGTTTAAATACACAACTTTCGACGAGGACGATGAAGCCGAGTATCTGAAAAAAGAAGAGGAAGAAAAAGCAACTCTTGAAGCACAATATGCACCGGGAAAAATTCCGGAAATTGCCATTCAACTTGTAGACGATCCTAATGCGAACCAGGAGGAAAATGATAATCATATTTATAGTCCAGTCCCGGTATTTGATTAAATTATTGCACTCCAGAGATCATTCACTCTAAAATTACTGCAAAACACTAATTATGTGACGACAAACAGAAGAAAAAGCCGAACACTATGTAGATTTTCTTGATAATTTATTCACTTCCATAAACGCAGAAGTGCTACTAAATTTTCTGTTTTATCGTCTGAAATTCCAGGAGCCACCTACGACCCCTCCTCCTCCGCTTCCAGCTATCGGACCACCACTGATATTATATTCTGAAAAACCTGACCACGAAGGTTTAAAATTTGAAAATTTTTTAACTTTTATGTAACTGAAAAACCATCTGTTGTTTGTAGTATAAATACGTTCAGCAGTTTCAATCAAACCTGAAAGATTTTTTTTTCTTGTTCATGAGAATACTTTTTTTTAAAAAAGTTCAAAGAACAGGAATAATACTCACCACTGAAAACCTATGAACAATATTGTAGTTTTTAGGTTTTGACGATGTGAAGAAAGTTGCTGTAGAAGAAACACGAAATGCGCAAATTACAAGCGATGAAAAAGTGGAGGAACAAAAAAGTGGTGGCTCAGAACCATCTGTAGGTATGTCTTCGGTGGAAAGATGTACGATACAAATACCTCTTAAAAGCATGATTTGGCAAACATAACTCCCCTTGTATCGCTGTACAAAAAAACTTTCAGATTTTATGAATAATTAAAAAAACTTTAGAGAGTTTTTACATCTTTCAGCTCATGGTCTAAATGTTTATGAGGATCCTATTGAAGTTGTCCCAGTTGCCAAAGACGAACAAATCAAGTGGGAACAGGGCCTGAGTTCTTCGGTTATCCGAAAAATGAGTCGGAGCAACAAATGGCTACCCATAGACAAAGTAAATGAAGCTGCAGTCAATTAATCATAATTTTTCAACTTCCCAAAAGTTTCTTTTTTTGATTTTTTTACACTTTTAAAAAAAATTTTTTAACAAAAATGGTGTCAAAAAAAAAGATTATTTTTTCTCTGCTCAGGAGGATGAGGATCTTCGACAACGCGTTGAAGCTTATCGGGCTAAACCGCATATTTTACCTCTCAAAGACGACGACGAAGACAGTATTTTTCAAAAATTCGGAAAATTTACAAATGCTTCGTCAACGACTAGTACCCCAGTAACGGAAACAGACAATTCTCCATTATCAGGCAGTCCAGCATTGCCTACTTCGCCACCTCCGAAATTACAGCCCTATTCCCCATACCACATCCCAGTGACTAGAACATTTAAGTCGCATGAAAATTCCTCCCCGTCTCAACCTCCAGAAAATTCCTCACTAAAAAGCAGAACAGAATCCATTTTTGAACAAGTAAAACCTACTAAGGAAGAAGTTTCAAAAGTACCGACTGCACTTTCCTATCCGAATCAGAAACCATCGGTGGCAGAAGAAGTGAGTTGGAAAAGAGCACCAAATCAACTATCTTTTCCGGACTCGCCTTTATCTCCCAATGCTCTAGCATCCCCAGTGCGTAGGCCAGATTCTGCGCCACCACAGATGGTTGGAATTAGCAATAAATTCTTCCTACTCGACGACCAAGCAGAACTAAAACCAACAAAAGTCGTTCGGCACTCCTATTTTGGACCGAAACCAGCACCAAAAGATGTGAAAGATGGTCCATCGATACATCACCACTATATTCCACTACCACTTGCGAACTTCAATAAACCAACTCGGAGAAATACAATCTCAGAAAATAGAGTTAACACTAGTCCGCACCCAAAATCGCGACGAGCCACCGAATACGTCCAGTTGGGCGCAGGTGGATTCAGCAACACTTGGTCACCTTCACACAAAACCGTTACAGAACCTTCTCCAATTACCGAACAGTAAGCCGCTCTTACATTCATCACAATATTTTGCTTTTTTATCGTCTTCTCTTCAGTTTTTTTCCTTTCAACTTTTCGGCTTCTTTTTAATTGCTAAAAGTTTTACCCTTTATTTTTCATTGTTTTATGTCAATCGTCATTGGACTTTTCACTTAACACCCCTGGTTGAGTCTTTGAACAACAACTGATTACCCCTATTCCCTTCGTATAAAATGCTCTCTGTATGCTCTCATAATCATAATAATCATTTGCTAGCTTCTTTGAAAAGTCATTTACAGGTGGGAAGAAGTCAATGTTTTTTTTAAAGCCGTTATTACTTTTTATAGCTTTTTAATTTGTTTTTATTTCAAAAATCTGTGCAAAGAAAAAAAAAAAACTTTTTTCTTCAAAGCTCTTGAAATAAATCCACCCATTTCTTTCCGTATTCCATTGCTTTCGAAGTTCTTCACTCCATCTTCCGGGAAGCAAATTTATTGTCGGTTAAAAAGGCACAAAAAGTAGCATCACCACTAGCAGGAACAATAAAAACAACACCAAAATAAACATAAAATTTTTCATTCATATAACCTGCAAAAAATAAAAAAAAAAAAAGAAATCGGTATTTACAACAAAATGAAAACTGATAGAGAGAGTGAGAGAGAGAGAAGAGGTTATTATAGAGCATTATTGTTGTTCCCCTCGCAACACACAATCAAACCAACAAACTAACTAACTAACTGGTTGCTGGTTGTGGCGGTGTATCGGCCGCCCGTTACACCGCATGGTTTCTGCACTTGTCAATTGATGAGATGGTGCTACCGGCCCACTGACTAACAAACTGCCAAACCGCCTTCACTACTACTACTACTGCTGCTGCTGCTGTTGCTGCTGTTACTACAACGGCTCAAAGACTTGTGGTTTTCTTACTTCATCTGCTTTCTTCTTTTTTTTCTTTTATTAATGACTTTTCAACTTATTGTTGCTTCATGCTAAAGCTATTGCTTTATAATAAATTGGCGGAGTTTTTTTTTTACAAAATTACCACCAATTTTTATCGTATTTTTTTTCCCCTC